TTTTTTTAGATTTTATTTTAATGAACATTTACAGAGATTTTGGATTTCCATTCACTCTTTGTTGCACTTTTCTCCCTGCCCAGCCCTCCCTCCTGCCCCGCCCCGCCTCAGTTCACTCCTCTCTTTGAAAAAAGTAAAAGAAAAAAAATTTTTTTCTTTGATATACAATCTCTCCGCATCCGTCTCACCGCCTCAAGTACACTCCACTATGCAACCATAATTGTGGACTCTTGTTATATTCTCTTTAGTTATCATGAGAACCTAACTTTTTATATAAATATAAAACTGTCTCTTTTGTAATTGCCTTTCTGACCTCTTGTCTGGGTTGGGCTGCCAAGATTTCCTTTTCTCCCCATTGTAAGGCTTTCTCCTTTACTTGTTTTGCTCCCAATTTTGACTAAAATCTCATTTTGTATGAGAGGAAGTTTAAGATTGATGTTCTTCTGTGTTGCGTGAGTTGAATATCCTTAGTGGTTAACTTAGACCTAACATGTGGTTCTTTAATAGGACTCTCGAGTTTTCCAAAGTTCCCGCTGTCCTACTTTTGAAATTGCCCTTTCAACATCACGTGCTCTGGTACCCGTTAGTGTTGGGGGGAAGCCAGTCGCCCTAGTCCGCGGGCTCAGGGCGTCTTCCGCCGTAACCGTTCTCGTGTGCCTTCTTCTTTTTAGGAAGTTGAAGACCACGTGGCGTTTTTGATCACCGTCCCCACGGCCCTGGCCATCTTCTTTGCGATCTTCATCCTCGTCTGCATCGAAGCTGTGTTCAAGAAGCTGCTACGCCTCTTCTCGCTGGTGATATGGATCTGTCTCGTCGCCATGGGATACCTGTTCATGTGCTTTGGAGGTACCATCTCACCTTGGGACCAGGTAAGGCTGGAGGCTCTTTTGGTCCATTCTGACTGGTGCCTTGCTTTGTGACATACCTGATTCCGTGAACGTTGAGTCTTGGAGTGAACTGTCTGTGGTGACTTTGAGAGCTTGAAGTGATCTAGGTTAGAGATTTGACCAGGGAGTGGAATCTTTGCACCACAAATGTTTATTGTTTGGAAGTACTTATGGCCGTGTGCAGGGTGGTTCCAACAGCAGGTGACCCTCCAGAGATGAGGGACCCAGAGAACCATGAGAAGATGGTGAGTGTATCCATGGAGGAGAGAGGACAGGAGGAAGGGGCTTGCCCTTCATCAGAAGACACCCCACCCGTGTGCTAGCGTTTCCCAAGCTCCTGGGACGACTCTTAGCCCGTCCACTTGTATTCAGCATATGCCTCTGATCATTAAATGTCGTAAATAAATAGGTAAAAGGGATTTTGTCCTTTTAACCTTCTTACATCTAATTCAGTAATTGTTTTTAATGCTGTTCTGTCATCACGATTGCCATCCCCAAATTGTCCTATGACTGTTCACAGAGAGAGGATGTTGAGGGGAGAACCCAGAGGTCACCTCGTAGCAGCTAACAGGAGCGTAGTAGCTAGCAACAGCAACTAGCCATCTTTGGGGTGAGGCTGGCTCCTCCCTACTCCGGGGCTTCGGGGTGGATCATCTCCATCAACGTCTAGACACAATCAAAGGGCGCCTGGGTCTGTCACCTCTGTGCTCGGTCCTGCTCTGCGTTTGATCTGCTCAATTCCCCACTCCAGCTCTCTGACACAGGCGCCGTGGGGTCTCGATGCTGGGTGCAGAGTGTCCCATCTGAGTGGACTCCAACGGATCACAGTCTAGTTCTATTAAGATACCAGGGGGTTCCCAGACCTGATTCTTTAGCCAGGCACACTCTAGGCAGTCTGCTTCCCAAGATAAGTATTACAAAAATGGAGAAAGAACATATATACAGACAGAAGGATAGTTGAAGACAGAAGAAAGGTTATTAAGAATATATGATTAGGTATTATTGTCATGACAGGTGTCCAGAACAAAGGCTGCATAGTGGAGTGGACCTGGGGAAGGGATTATAAAACAATGAAAGAATTTTTCTTTTACTTTTTAAAAAGAAGAGAGTACTGGGGGATGAGGGGTGGGCAGGGAGAAAAGTGCAACAATGAATGAATGGAAATCTAAAGTCTGTAAAATTTCATTAAAATTAATAATAATAATAATAATGGGGAAAAAAGAAAGAGATGCTCTCAGAAGATGAGAGTGGGTCCGTCTGGAAAGGTGGGAACAGATGCTGCAGCCCCCTGGGCCCTCACCTGTGCAGGTCTTAGAGCATCCTGATTCAGCCTTCATGTCTGTGCCGGATACAGCGGTGGGTGGGCTTTTTGCTGCATTCTCATTGGTCCTTGGAACTAGGTCGATGATTGATGTGCACTGATTGGCTCTGTCAGCTGCTGCTTGGGTTCCTTTCCTGATTCCTTGCGATCCTTCCTTAGTCCTCTCTGACCCTAACCACTACTACTGAGAACTTCCCCAGAGTTTACAAGGCTGTCTCTGGAGGTGTGGTGCATTTCAGGTCGGGCTAAACCCCAAAGGCTGGTGGTTTGAACCCGCTGGCAGATCCGTGGGAGGAGCATGGGCAGTCTCCTCCTAAAAAGGTCCCAGGAGTCAGTCGGGACGCCCTGGTGTCACCGGGAGAGTGGGAGGTGGTTAGGAAAGCAGACAGCCACTTCTTTCTCCAGGGGAGTGGCCAGGGGTTTTGAAGCACATGCCTTCAAGTTGGGCACTGAATGTGTAACCATTGGGCCACCAGAAACAGAGACCTGGGCATGGAAGCCCTTGCCCAGGGCCCGGGTACCAGGGAGTGGGAGAGGAGATTTCATTAGCTCATTCTGTGATTTGGGCCCCAGCTGCCGTTTGACAGTGTCTGGGGACGTTGTCAGTTACGCAGGGGGATGAGGATTCGTCCTGGCTTCCAGGGTGGAGGCCGGGCGTGCTGACCACCAACCTGCACTGCTCTGGGCCCCAGACGTCAGCAGTGCAGAGAGACCGAAGCTGCATCCTCCAGCCCCTGACCCTGCAGGCACCTGCCCAGTGAAGGCTGCTGTCTGGTCAGGCAGGAGGCGTGGATCTGTAGTGGGCGCTGAGACACTCTCCCGGAGGCATGGTGGGTAGTGCTGGGGGAGACTGGCACCCTGTTTGGAAGGATAAACTCTGGACCTAATACAACCGTGGAAACATCTGTTCGTTCTCAGCAGCCTGGCCTGGGTGCTGGGTTCACTCTATACAAGGGTTTCATTCAGCACCAGAAAGTCCTGTTTGGGGGCCCGTTCTCTCCTCTGTAGGAGTACCCAGGTGGTGCATGGGGTTGAACACTCAGCTGCTAATTACAGTTCAGTGGTTCGAACCCTCCAGCCTTGAAATCTCCACAGGGAAGTTCTGCTCTGTCATGAGGACGGCTGAGTTGGAACTGACTGAGGAGGGGCCTGTAACGACAGGAGAAATGGACGAGCTCATTCACTCAGTTGTTTACTCTTTCAGTGATATTAATGAATGCAGTTAATTCAGTGGCCACTGAGTTGGAGTCACCCACAGTTGACCCACCAGGGGTTTCATAAGGCTGTAATTGCATGGGAAGAGATTGCCCGGGTTACCTCCGCTGAGCTGCTGGTGGGTTCAGACCTCCAGACAGGCATTACGTTTGGGTGACTAAGCCACCAGAGTGCCCCAAAGTTCATTAGTTGTGTTATTGTGTACTGTCGGTTGTAACCGAACCATAGCAGGTTTTTAGAGGCAGTGAGTCCCATGGACTGCAGCCTCCAGTATGGATTGAGGCTCAATGTCAAGAAGACAAATATTCTCACCACTGGAACAATTGGGAGCATCAGGATGGATGGTGAAGAGATTGAGATTGTACACAGCTTTAGTTTGCTTGGCTCCATGGTCAACAGTCTTGGCACCAGCAGCCAGGAAATAAAAAAAAAAAACACAAACATATCGCGATGGGAAAGTCTGCTGTTAGGGACCTCTCCAGGATACTGAAGAGCAATGGTGTCTCTCTGGAGACTAAGGTGCGACTGATACAGGCCATGGTCTTTGCAATCACCTGTTATGCATCAGAGAGTTGGACAATGACTAGGGAGGATAGAAGGAGAATTGATGCCTTTGAGCTGTGGTGCTGGAGAAGAGTATTGAGAGTACCATGGACCGCTAGGAAAACAAACAGATTCATCCTGGAGAGGGTTAAACCAGGCGGCTCCTTGGACGCAAGGATTCTGAGGCTCCATCTAACATACTTTGGACATGTTGTAAGGAGAGACCGGTCCTTGGAGAGAGACACCATGCTTGGGAGGGTGGAGGGACGGCGCAGGAGGGGAAGGTCCTCTATGAGGTGGATTGATTCAGTGACTGGGGTAATCGAGATGGGAGTGTCAGAGACAGTGCGACTGGCACAGGACAGAGCGGAGTTTAGGGCTGTTGTACATAGGGTCGCTACGAGTCACATAACAACAACAACAAGACCCATGGGAGGAGAATAATCATCTTTCTTCTTCGGGCAACTGTTGGATTCAAACCCCTGTGCCTTTGGCTTGTGTATCTAGCACGAGGCCACCGGTTATGGTTCGCCATTGAGTTGGAACAGACCAACAGCTGACCCTGCAGAGGGTTTTGAGAGTTAGTACACTTTGTAGGAGGAGTGTGCCCATGTTTATGAAATGTCAGGAGAGGAGCTCCACTCATGCCGTGGTTAAAGTGTCCCATGATTTCTCAGAAGGTGGGTGCTTTGAACTCCATGGGAGAAAAATGTGGCCCTTGGCTCCTGTAGACATGCCGGCCTTGAAAAAGCCGAGGGCAGTGGGCTTGGGGCTTGGGGTGCTGTGTGTCTGCCCCCAGCCCCTCAGCTCCACACGTCTGAGGAAGTAA